CCCAGGAAACACTATAACAGCTGCGGTGCCCCGATGACCCTCAGGGATCATCATGCATCTTGTGATCAAATAAGAGTTCTATCAGTAAATAATTCTTAAAAGCATAATTAGTAAATTAATGAGAAAATGTCAAAAGTAAGTGGGGGAAGGGTAATAAAGAAGAAAATGTCCAAAATAAAGTGGGGGAAAGGTAGCAAAGAAGAAAATGTCAAAAATAAAGTGGGGAAAGTGTAATAAAGAAGATAATGTCAAAAATAAAGTGTGGGGAGGGTAGCAAAGAAAATGTCCAAAATAAAGTGGAAATTAAAAGATAATTTATTTTTTATAGAATAAAGTATTTGTAATTTAGGTTTTGGGTATTTTTGGAATATTTAAAAAGAATAAAAAGGCAAATGGAAAAAGTAATTCTTCAAAAATTCCAGACGGTTGTTGTCTGTTTTTGTATTTTGAACTTGATTAGGATTATGGTAATTAGTTTCAGGTGTCTCAAATTTTGGGAGCTTCAGTGCAAACTGAGGAGTTAATATTGCAAGTTTTTTTTGTTTTGTTTTTTTTTTTTGTTTTTTGTTTTCTGCCTGATACAACAGCCCTCTTGCTTTATAGAATAAACCATTTTCACCTGAAAACAAAAATGAAATGGATTGGTGATATATTCATGCTTAATTTAATTTCTGACAGAGCATCAAATTTCTTTGTTTGCTTGTTTCTCTTCTACTCTTTCTAATTGTTTTATATTTTGTTCCAGGTTTTATATTTGTTTTTCTTGTTTTTTGAATTCCTTTCTTTTTTTCTTTCTTCCTATTTTTCATATTCTCTTTTTCGTCTGCCATTTAGGAAGATTATATATTCTGCATTCAATTTTTTATTTTTTATATCTCTCTTTTTTCCTTCTTATTTGTTTTTATTCCTTTTCTTTTTCATCTTCATTCTATTTTAAATCTTTTGTCAGTGATCTGTTATTTTTCATCTTTGTTTACATTTTCTTCTTCAAATTCTTTTCTTTTTCTTACATCTTTCTATCATCTTTATAAAAAAGTAATATTTTCTTTCTTTTACTGTTTGTTTTTTCTTTTCCTTTTGTCTTTTCATTCTCTTTGATCTTTTTCTTTTTTTTGCTTGCTTAAAATCTTCGTTTCTCCATTATTCTCCTTTCTTACATTTTCATTTGAATTTTATTTGACCCTTTATTATGAACATTTTCTTCTTTGTTACCATCCCCCAACTTTATTTTGGACATTTTCTTCTTCGCTGCCCTCCCCCCACCACTTTATTTTGGACATTTTCCTCTTTGCTCCCTTTCCCCCACTTTATTTTGGACATTTTCTTCTTTGCTACCCTCCCCACACTTTATTTTGGACATTTTCTTCTTTGCTACCCTCCCCACACTTCATTTTAGACATTTTCTTTTTTGCTACCCCCCCCCCACTCTTTATTTTGGACATGTTCTACTTTATTACCCTCCCCCACATTATTTTGAACAATTTCTTCTTTCTTACCCTTCCCCACTTTATTTTGGACATTTTTCTTCTTTGCTACCTATCCCCCACTTCATTTTTGACATTTTCTTCTTTGCTACCCTCCCCCGAATTTATTTTTGACATTTTCTTCTTTGCTACCCTCACCTGACTTTATTTTGGACATTTTCTTCTTTGCTACCTATCCCCTACTTCATTTTGGACATTTTCTTCTTTGCTACCCTCCCCAGACTTTATTTTGGACATTTTCTTCTTTGCTACCTATCCCCTACTTCATTTTGGACATTTTCTTCTTTGCTACCATCCCCAGACTTTATTTTGGACATTTTCTTCTTTGCTACCATCCCCAGACTTTATTTTTGACATTTTCTTCTTTGCTACCCTCCCCAGACTTTATTTTTGACATTTTCTTCTTTGCTACCTATCCCCTACTTCATTTTGGACATTTTCTTCTTTGCTACTCTCCCCAGACTTTATTTTTGACATTTTTCTACTTTGCTACCCTCCCTACTTTATTTTTTTGACATTTTTTTTCTTTGCTACCCTCCCAGACTTTATTTTTGACATTTTCTTCTTTGCTACCTATCCCCTACATCATTTTTTACATTTTCTTCTTTGCTACCCTCCCCAGACTTTATTTTGGACATTTTCTTCTTTGCTACCTATCCCCTACTTCATTTTTTACATTTTCTTCTTTGCTACCCTCCCCAGACTTTATTTTTGACATTTTCTTCCCCTATCCCCTACTTCATTTTGACATTTTCTTTTTGGACTTTATTTTTGACATTTTCTTTTTTTTACCCTCCCCTAGACTTTATTTTGACATTTTCTTCTTTGCTACCATTCCCAGACTTTATTTTGGACATTTTCTTCTTTTGCTACCCTCCCCAGACTTTATTTTTGACATTTTCTTCTTTGCTACCTATCCCCCACTTTATTTTGGACATTTTCTTCTTTGCTACCCTCCCCAGACTTTATTTTTTGACATTTTCTTCTTTGCTACCCTCCCCTACTTCATTTTTTGACATTTTCTTTTTTTTGCTACCTCCCCAGACTTTATTTTTTTTGACATTTTCTTCTTTGCTACCCTCCCCAGACTTTATTTTTGACATTTTCTTCTTTGCTACCCTCCCCAGACTTTATTTTTGACATTTTCTTTTTTGCTACCTATCCCCTACTTCCATTTTTCTTCTTTGCTACCCTCCCCAGACTTTATTTTTTGACATTTTCTTCTTTGCTACCTATCCCCTACTTCATTTTGGACATTTTTCTTCTTTGCTACCCTCCCCAGACTTTATTTTGACATTTTCTTCTTTGCTACCTATCCCCTACTTCATTTTGGACATTTTCTTCTTTGCTACCATCCCCAAACTTTATTTTGGACATTTTCTTCTTTGCTACCTATCCCCTACTTCATTTTGGACATTTTCTTCTTTGCTACCCTTCCCAGACTTTATTTTTGACATTTTCTTCTTTGCTACCTATCCCCTACTTCCTTTTGGACATTTTCTTCTTTGCTACCCTCCCCTGACTTCATTTTGGACATTTTCTTCTTTGCTGCCCTCCCCAGACTTTATTTTTGACATTTTCTTCTTTGCTACCTATCCCCTACTTCATTTTGGACATTTTCTTCTTTGCTACCCTCCCCAGACTTTATTTTTGACATTTTCTTCTTTGCTACCTATCCCCTACTTCATTTTGGACATTTTCTTCTTTGCTACCCTCCCCAGACTTTATTTTTGACATTTTCTTCTTTGCTACCTATCCCCCCACTTTATTTTGGACATTTTTCTTCTTTGCTACACTCCCCACACTTTATTTTTGACATTATCTTCGTTATTACCCTTCCCCCACTTTATTTTGGACATTTTCTTCTTTGCTACCCTCCCCCAACATTATTTTGGACATTTTCTTTTTTGCTACCCTCCCTCCACTTTATTTTAGATATTTTCTTCTTTGTTACACTCCCCACACTTTATTTTGTGCATTTTCTTCTCTGCAGACCCCCCTCCCATTTTGTTTGATTCATTTTTCAGTTTAGCTTTTTAACCTTGATTTTATTTCATTTTTTCTTCTTTCCCTATTTTTCATGTCATTCTTCTTGATGTCTTTTTTTTCATTTATTAATCATATCTTCATTTCTTCTCTTTTATTTTTCTTTCCACTTCCTGAAGATGTCATTTTCTTTTCTGTTTCTTTCACTTTCATTCTTCATTCATTGATGCCATTTTCAAATAAATAAACTGATTTGTAAGCCTGACTACTTTTTCCCCATTAAGCAACCATCTTTCATTTTTAATGCTTATAAATACTGACATTTTGTGTAACATTCTCTTGTAACATTTTCTTTGCAACTCTCAATACAAATAAACTAGAGTTTTTCTCTGCTTAAAATTGACCATATCAGTTCAATCTAAAAGAAATACGTTACCTGAGATGGAAAATTACATTTTGCTTTCTGTTAAACTTTTTCATTACACCATTTTAATTTTTGTTTTTTGGTCAGATCTGCCAAACCTTCAATTAGTCTATAATCAGGTGACACGACTTGTCTAAGAATAGTGTTTACAGTGCCTGTCAAAATGTTTACATCTTCAACAAAAACACTCAAGTTAGGGGGAGGGCATGGAGGGAAAGGAAAACATTCAGCCAGGCTTTCACCTTTCACTTCTTTTGGTGGTGAAAACACTTTATAAATTTGAAATAGTGACTTTCAGTAGATGATTACATGTTTGCTTGTATATACTTTTATGTATGTGACTGTCTGCTGTCTATTCATCTATGTACATGTTTGTGTACGCGCACACACACACACATATGTGTATAGTGTGTGTGAATAAAGAAAAAAGGAAAATTTTTTACCCTTTGATGGACTTTATAAATGGCAAATGGAAGGTTTTTATTTTGCAATATGTATTTATAAACAGAAGTTAAAATGTTAGTTTTTCAGAAATTTTAAATTTAAGAATACTCATAAATATACTTCAAACTAACTGAAAGCTAAGGTAAAATTTTAAAAATTCTGGAAAATTTAATATTTTTGTGTATAAATATGTGCTGTAAAATAAAATCCTTACATTTGCCTTGATAAAGTCCATCAAAGGATAAAACGTGTCAGCTAAGAAAAGTTTTCTTTTTTCTTTTTGTCTTTATTCATATTGACTTCTTACAGATAATATTTTTTGTTACATCTGAATTTTTACACAAACTCCTTCTCTCTCTCACACACACACACACACACACAATCTCCGATCAAGTATTGGTAAATTCTAACAACAAATTATATTTAATTTTATTTTTGAATTTTCCCAATTTTTTTAAAAATGACATTGTACACTTGGACCAAAATTGTGGATTACTGACTGAAGTTTGTTTTGTTCTGTTTTTATTCAAGTACTTTCAACTTTCTTAGTTACGATCAAGAACTGTATGTTGTCAGTATAGTAGACTGGATTTTGTTGAGTATATTTTGGCATATTTTTTCAGTGGGGGAATGCTGGGATTCAAATTAATCTAAAGTGATGTCCTGTATAACAGTTTAATGAAGCCTTAAACTACACAAGGAAAAAGAACAATAAAATATTGATACAATGAAAAATTAAAGAGTCTTTGTCCGATGAATTCTTGTGGCCTAAATATACTTTATATAATCTTTACTCACTTCAATCAATTATAGGAAAAAAATTTACCAGTACAAACTGATTTTAAAAGGTGCTCAATACATAAGCTGTATGAAAATCCCAAGAGCATTTATCTTAAAATCACACTACTGCAGTTTCACCTTTTTATGATCTTCAGGCTGATTTAGTTATATTTTTCACCACTTTGTATTTTAATATATACTGTTGCCATTCCATTGTTACCAAAGCAAAAATTTTTGACAAAGCAGAAATGGAAGTGTGGTATATATTTAAATAAAAAGTGGCATGAGATATAAGCAGACCAGCCTGAAGATCCAAATGGTGAAACTGCAGTAGTGTCATGAGGTATCTGTGTTTGCATCAACATGTTGTATCTCTATTTTTTGAACTTTTGGTATATCTGTGTCTGTCTATCTACATATATATCATCATAAAAAATAAATTAATTTTTCTAATTGATGATCCTATATACATGGTGGTAGAGTAAAACTTGTAAAATTACTTTGATCATTGAAACTAGTTTATTATGCATTAATATAAAAAGACTATTAGTAAAACTTATTTCAAAATGAATAATTTACACAATATAGTTTCCATTATTTTTAATTACAATTTGAAGTTGATGTTCAAAAATTGCATAACTCTTAACCACTTGGCTCTCTCCTCTTTGAGGGTATTCATGTCTGGTGTGAGATATTAAGATCTGCTCCAAAATGTCCCACACAACTTAGTATAGTGTCTTCAGATCCTGAGCTGGTGTAAGGACGAAAGTCTACTGGACATAAATCAACAAACTTTTCAGAACTTCTGCATCTTCTTGGTTTTGTTGGGAGCATCATCATCCTTTTATTACACCTTAACACCTCAGAACTTTATAGTAGGGATCAACACCTACCTATTTGCTAAGCTTTTTGAAGAATGAGATCATCTTCTTCCTCTTGGAGATCAAGCCACCCAAGATCATGATCTGAGGCAGATGTTTTATCCCAAAGGTACCCTTGATATCAACCGATTGTTTCCATGAGGTTCTGAACATTTGGCAATTTAAAACTTGTCCACAGTGAAGCTATTCTTATGAGAGAATATTTTAACAGTGGATCCATGGTTTTTTGAGGTAATTGAGCAATTTCTAGCATCTTTCTTCATTGGCTCGGTGTGTGTTAAAACACAACTTGTCATGTACAACCATTCTAGTGGTTTTACTGTCCACACTTAGCTTAGAAACTATCTTATGCATGGATGTTATTGGTTTGTTGCCAATTTGGGTCGTTGGGATATTACTGAAATCTCAATTCCAGGTTTCCTCTGGGTGTCAGTATCATTACCTTTTGTGTCGTGACATTGTAGACAGTGTGTAAAGACACACAAACTATCTGTTATATTTCTGAGATGAGGTATTATGTACACTATTTACATTATTCGGACTATTGCCCTCATCTTTGTTGCCATATTTATTACAATGTTTCAGCTGTTGTACACTCTGGCCTTCTTCAAGTGGCTGGAATGTCGAACCGAACCCTTTATTTCACTCACTGGGGTAGACTGTTCTAGTTCCACATGCCATGTCTAATGGATGTTAGTTATCAGTTATCTCCTGTTAATTCAACTCTCCAAGTTCTCCACTGCCTTAACCAGATATTGAATTGACATCCATTAGACATGGCACGTGGAACTAGAACAGTCTACCCCAGCAAGCAAAATAGAGGGCTCAGTTCGACATTCCAACCACCTGAAGAAGGTCGGAGCATACAATGGCCAAAATGTTGTAATAAATATGGCGACAAAGATGAGGACAATAGTCTGAATAATGTAAATAGTGCACACAAACTATGTTGGAGATCTTTTTAGGATTAATTTGTGCATAATGTAAATTTGATATTATTTCCTGATTTTCTCTGAAACCTTCTTGAAAAATAGATATGTATTAATATCTATGTATTACATTGAATGTATTAATTAATAATGTATTAATAACCGACAGTATATTCTTTGCTGTGGATTGGATTTGGTTTATTGGTTGGTGGTAAAATTTACTTCCAAATATATATAAAATGTTATCTGACTTACCAGAGGTCATGGGATAGCAATATATAAAAGTAATTGTAGATGTTCTTCCCGCTTGTAACTTGATTTAGTGGAAATGGTCAAATGTATGTCATTATACTCTAACATCAAATGAACAAGTGTGAATACTATCTAGGTTGCTCATGGTAAGGCAATGGAAATCTTCAGGATGTTGGTGATCATTGCTCTCCACAACTTCCTGTTTTTGAAGTTACAGAAAAAAAAGAAAAAGAAAAAAATTTCGTCTTGTTCAGATTTATGTTGCTATTAAAGGAGGTGCTGAAAAAGTTGATGATCTTATTAGTGGTACAAAATTTAAT